TCCACGTTCTAATTCCTATCGCCATCTAGGCCCATCCCGGAGAAGATGTAAGACCGCAAGTCCCATCAAGCTGCACGGGGAGGTCGAGGCACAGCACGGGGTGTGGGAAACAAAAGAGTTCTCCAGAGGTTCAAGGCTTCCAGATGGTGGACTAGGACACTAGGTGACCTCAGATGAAGGTTCTTCTACCTCGCTGTAAGAGCTGACCCCCATGAAGACTTGAGAAGTCATGGTGAAGAATCCAACTGGGATGTCCTACTCAGAATCCTGGGAGGAGCTTGGATGGGAAGATGTTAATGCTGGATCTCCAGGTCCATCAGGAAGGGTCAGAGACAATGGACACAGGACTGTTTGAAGATCCCGAGTACAGTGGGCTACCAGATGGTGGACATGGTGTTCCTCAATGTTGGCAACTTTTAAGATGGGTGGACTTCAACTCCCAGAATTCCCTCACCCATCATAAAAAGTTGCCAAGGTTGAGGAACACCAATCTAACATCTGGATAGTCCATCACATTCACGCTCTTCCACCTCAGTTGTGAGGCACCCTCAGCCACGCGTCTCTTGAGAAGACACCCAAGCCAACCTATCCACGAAGAACGTTCTCCATCTCCTCCGGGTCTTATCCAGGAAATCTCCTTTTTTAAAAAAAATAAAAATAAAATCTTTCTCCCCTAAATTCTGAAAGGCGTGGTTGATGCCGAAAGAGATAAAATATGCAGCTGGCCCCCTTACGCCTTTGGGTCCAACATCCAGGTAGTCCTCAACTTACAACCATAACGGAGTCTGGAATTAGTTGTTAAGTTGTGCCGGTCGCTAGGCAGACTGACCTGGTATTATGGCTTTGTTGTGGTGGATGTTTAGCAAGCCACGATTGATTCTGCGGTCAACGAACACCGCGGTCATTATGTAAAACAACTGTTTGCAATGTGGCTGGGGTGTTTTTTTGGGGTGAGAAACTGGAAATAAATCCCATTTTCCAGCCAAAAAAAAAAGTGTCAATCAAGTTCATTGACAGTAGACTGTTCTCTTTTGGGGGGGTTCATCGTCCCTTCAAACGGACACTTAAGTCACTGGTCATAAGTCAAGGATTCTCTGTAATGCCTTACTCTCGTCGTTTCGGTGGTCCCCTTCCACTCCTAATCGTCTACAGGAGTGGGTTCCTCTCACCCCGCAAAGACCAGCACCCCAATTCCTTGGTTCTCCTCACTTGCCAAGCCTCCTTCTGTTGACCCCCCAGTTCCGGATCTCCTTCCGAGCAAAGTTCTTACGGGGGCCATTTGAGGCGGTGAGCTGGGAAGCCGTGGAGACGAGGAGGATCTGAGGTGTCCTGGGTGGTCTCCGAGCCTGGTTATCTTGCAGACGTTTCATGATCCAACTAGGGAACATCATCAGGGTTAGAAGGGAATGGAGTTTGTGGAGAAGAGGAAGAGGATGAAAAAGAAGGAATAAAGGAAGGAAGGAAGGAGGGGGGAAGGAAGGAGGAAAGGGAGGGAGGGAGACTGTGGAGTCCTTGCTGTACTCTGAGCTTGGTGGCTTTCCTGCAGACGTTTCATGACCCAACTAGGGAACATCATCAGTGTTAGAAGGGAATGGAGTTTGTGGAGCGGAAGAGGAAGAGAAAGAAGGAATAAAGGGAGGAAGGAGGGAGGGAGGGAAGGAAGGAGAGGGAGACCGTGGAGTCCTTGCTGTACTCTTGAGCGTGGTGCTTTTCTTGCAGACGTTTCATGACCCAACTAGGGAACATCATCAGTGCTAGAAGGGGGGGGTTGCAGGGAGGAGGAGGAGGAGGAGGAAGAGGAGGGACTATGGGGTCCTTGGTGCTCTCTGAGCGTGGTGCTTTTCTTGCAGACGTTTCCTGACCCAACTAGGGAACGTCATCAGTGTTAGAAGGGAATGGAGTTTGTGGAAAGGAAAAGGAAGAGAAAGGAGGAGGAATAGAGGGAGGGAAGGAAGGAAGGAAGGAAGGAAGGAAGGAAGGAAGGAAGGAAGGAAGGAAGGAAGGAAGGAAGGAANGCTACAGTCTCTTTGCTTACTCCACGTTCTAATTCCTATCGCCATCTAGGCCCATCCCGGAGAAGATGTAAGACCGCAAGTCCCATCAAGCTGCACGGGGAGGTCGAGGCACAGCACGGGGTGTGGGAAACAAAAGAGTTCTCCAGAGGTTCAAGGCTTCCAGATGGTGGACTAGGACACTAGGTGACCTCAGATGAAGCTTCTTCTACCTCGCTGTAAGAGCTGACCCCCATGAAGACTTGAGAAGTCATGGTGAAGAATCCAACTGGGATGTCCTACTCAGAATCCTGGGAGGAGCTTGGATGGGAAGATGTTAATGCTGGATCTCCAGGTCCATCAGGAAGGGTCAGAGACAATGGACACAGGACTGTTTGAAGATCCCGAGTACAGTGGGCTACCAGATGGTGGACATGGTGTTCCTCAATGTTGGCAACTTTTAAGATGGGTGGACTTCAACTCCCAGAATTCCCTCACCCATCTTAAAAAGTTGCCAAGGTTGAGGAACACCAATCTAACATCTGGATAGTCCATCACATTCATGCTCTTCCACCTCAGTTGTGAGGCCCCCTCAGCCACGCATCTCTTGAGAAGACACCCAAGCCAACCTATCCACGAAGAACGTCCTCCATCTCCTCCGGGTCTTATCCAGGAAATCTTTTTTAAAAAAAATAAAAATAAAATCTTTCTCCCCTAAATTCTGAAAGGCGTGGTCGATGCCGAAAGAGATAAAATATGCAGCTGGCCCCCTTACGCCTTTGGGTCCAACGTCCAGGTAGTCCTCAACTTACAACCATAACCGAGTCTGGAATTAGTCGTTAAGTTGTGCCGGTCGCTAGGCGGACTGACCTGGTATTATGGCTTTGTTGTGGTGGACGTTTAGCAAGCCACCACGATTGAGTCTGCGGTCAACGACCACCACGGTCATTATGTAAAACAACTGTTTGCAATGTGGCTGGGGTGTTTTTTTGGGGTGAGAAACTGGAAATAAATCCCACTTTCCAGCCAAAAAAAAAAGTGTCAATCAAGTTCATTGACAGTAGACTGTTCTCTTTTGGGGGGGTTCATCGTCCCTTCAAACGGACACTTAAGTCACTGGTCATAAGTCAAGGATTCTCTGTAATGCCTTACTCTCGTCGTTTTGGTGGTCCCCTTCCACTCCTAATCGTCTACAGGAGTGGGTTCTTCTCGCCCCGCAAGGACCACCACCCCAATTCCTTGGTTCTCCTCACTTGCCAAGCCTCCTTCTGTTGACCCCCCAGTTCCGGATCTCCTTCCGAGCAAAGTTCTTACGGGGGCCATTTGAGGCGGTGAGCTGGGAAGCCGTGGAGGATCTGAGGGGTCCCGGGTGGTCTCCCAGCCTGGTTATCTTGCAGATGTTTCATGACCCAACTAGGGAACATCATCAGGGTTAGAAGGGAGGGGGGTTTGTGGAGAGGAGGAAGAGGATGAAAAAGAAGGAATAAAGGAAGGAAGGAAGGAGGGGGGAAGGAGGAAAGGGAGGGAGGGAGACTGTGGAGTCCTTGCTGTACTCTGAGCTTGGTGGCTTTCCTGCAGACGTTTCGTGACCCAACTAGGGAACATCATCAGTGTTAGAAGGGAATGGAGTTTGTGGAGCGGAAGAGGAAGAGAAAGAAGGAATAAAGGGAGGAAGGAGGGAGGGAGGGAAGGAAGGAGAGGGAGACCGTGGAGTCCTGAGCGTGGTGCTTTTCTTGCAGACGTTTCATGACCCAACTAGGGAACATCATCAGTGC